CCAACCAACTCCTTCAAGTTGTCCTCACCAATTCCAGCTAGTCTAGGTAGCCAGCTTGCCCTAGGGATCCCCTTTTTCTGTCTCCTATGTGCTATGATAGTAAACACTTACTTACTTACCCAGCTTTTTCTTGGGCTTTGGGGATTCAAACTCCAGTCCACAGGCTTATGTAGCTTTGTCCATTGAGCCATTCATCATCAATTGTTGACTTTTTTGTTGTTTGTTTTTGAGAGAAAGTTTTTCTGTGTAGCCCTGGGTGTCCTGGAACTCAATCTGTAGACCAGGCTGGCCTCAAACTTGGAAATCTGCCTGCCTCTGCCTCCTGAATGCTGGGATTAAAGATGTGCTCTACAACTACCTAGCCAATTGTTGACTTTTAACTTTCATAAATCATTACAAAAATAAATTGTCCTCATATTAATATAATTTCAACATTTACATTTCAAATATAATATATGGACCACATTATATAAGATAATATATTTGACATAGGACTTATAAAAATAAAGGAGGCATAGTTCTAGCCTAGGTATCTCTCAAAGCTGGAAATTAGGAGTATTCTTTATAGAAGAATATCAAGATATTTGATGAAACACCAGAAATGAAATGGAATTAATAGAAGCTTTAAATTGGGTTTTGAGAGGCATGGTGTTGATCTGTCTAACCCAGATACAGCATTAGAGATTAAATGACCTTTTTGGTATAATTAAAATATTCCTGAGAGTGGTTGTAAAGCCCTTGATGGTGATTTCTGCTCAGTGGAAACTGTTTGCTTTGATTGATACTCTTAAGGAGCATGGCAGGCTGGGTGAGAAATTGTTCACAAATGTGAAGTAGGTATAAGACAGTTATAGAAATAACAAAATCAGACTATGTTTGCATAATTGACTGCTTAGTCCAGATCAAAGGGATCTCTACAGCAACAGTCTCTGAGTCATTCTTCATCAGCTCTCAAGTTTTTGTGCACTTCAGTTTTTTCCTGTTAATGCTAATCAACAGAAGATGTTGATGTGCCTTACCAAGATTTGCGCTTTTTCATGCTAGCTCTCTTTGCATTAAGTGTAGTCTTTTTGTGACTAATTATTGAGTTTAGGGTATGTTTGACTGTAGCTACCCTTTCTCTGTCCAGTCAGCCAGCTCTCAAGTAATGACATGAGACTTATTAATTATGTAAATTTGGCCTTAGCTTATGTTTGTCCCACTAGCTCTTATTACTTAAATTAACCCAGCCTCTGCCTGGGATCAAAGGCGTCAATTTAAAGATTTATTTTTGACTGGACTCAGAATTTGAAGTTCTCAGAGAAGACACAGCCAAAGTCTTTTGGCAGTCTGTTCTGGCATTTTTCTTTGTCATGCTTCATTCTCTTGGCCAAAAGTTTAGCTTATTCTGTAGCCTCTTCTTTATTTTCCTTAGTGCATTTTTTCTTCAGAGCAATACCTTAGATTTGAGTTTCAGGACATGTGAAGTAACAAGATGATGAATCATGGGGGCCTTGGTCTTGTACTCCATACCTTTTTTGTTTATGGACTTTCAGACAGCATATTGGAGGATATCATCTTTAGAGAGACTGAAAAGTTTTCAGATTCTTCAGGCTCTTTGGGGCTCCATCCACCAGAGCAGAGTAGTAACTGTCAGTCAAGGAATATCCTTCTCTCATTTTTTTAAAATGAGCACAACCAGGGCTCAGAGAAACCTTGTCTCAAACAACAACAAACAAACAAAAAACAAAAAAAAAACATTCAGATTGGCATCCGTAAATAGACTTGTGCTTCTCCCTTTCAATTCTCCTTGGTCTTTTACAAAAGTGCCCCTGACTCAACAACAGGCACGCTCTGCTGTGGGTCAAGAAACCCTATTTCCTGGGAACTGTGTTTTTTCCATTGATTTGGACTCCACAACCCTTTGTTCACCCGGAACATCAACAACTACTTCTGTGGCCATTCACTTTTTATAGACAGAACCAAGCTTGTGTTCATCGTTGAGTACAATGAGTTTCTGATGGTCAGTGGCTGGAGAGCAGATACTGAGCTTAATCTGGACACAACTGACCCCTTAGGATGTGCCACCAAAAAAACCATGTATACTTTTAAAAAAGAAAATGATTGCTATAGTATAACTACTGGGCTAATTTATTTTCTTTTTCCTTATTAAAATAATGATGTATGAAATCCATGAAAATACGTTATTTTTGTGTAGATTCCTTTAGAGCATGTTCCTGCATGTGGGATTGAGCATGCTGAACATTTTGATAACTACTGCCAAACTGTCTTCCTAGAAAGACTGCAGATTCACATAGATATCGACAGGGAGTAAGAGTGTTGATTTACCCTTATTGCCAAAATGATATCACTATTTTAAAATTGCTTCCAATCTGATGTTGAAATTTCATTTTATATTTTAGATCTTGAATTCATTTGAGATATTGAGCCTTCTTTCAGTTTCTTTTTTTGGCCAGTTATTATTTTTCTATGATTTGCTTTAATTGGCTCATTTTATTAAGAAGTTAAAAATCATTTAGTGATGGCTTATAAACATTTTCTGAGATAAATTTTGCTGGGATCTGGGAATCTGAACTCAAGTGCTCTTACATGATGAGCCGTTTCACCAGCCCCAAAATAAATTTTGAATATGATTTTTTTATTAAATACTGCACATATAAATTTTCCTATTGCCTGCTTCTCTATCAACTGTACTTAGGGCATTTCTTAAAGTGAGATACTTCATTTTGTAGACATGTTAACTATTTATTCATGGTCTCTGTATTTTGCATAGTGTTTAAGAGAGACTTCTTTGTATAATCCACTCCTTTATATGCAAGTTTATTTTGAGTTGTCCTCTCTGTTGTTTTCTAATCTTCTACCAGTAGTGTGCTTCTAGTAGTTCCTTTGTGTATCAGGTCTTTGAAATCTGACAGGACAAAAACACCATCTTTCATTAATTTCTGCACAGCTGCCCTTGCTGTTGTTACTTACGGTTTCTCCTTTTTACCCTCAGATATCACTCCCCTGTGTTGCTGTAACCCTACTGTATTCTGTTAAGATTTGTGACATTTGCGTTATATGTGAATAGAGATAACAGACTGCTAGTGTTTTAGATGAAATAGTCTTTGAAATAAGAAAGTAGATTGTTCACAGTTAATTCATATATGGATGTTTTTGTTTCCAAGTCTTTGGCAATATTTGATGTTGATGTTTTTGAATATGTAGCTTCTATATAAACCTTAATGTTTTATTTTATTTATTATTTAAATTATTAAAATAATTTAATTATTTTAAAGAATAGAAGCCATATTTAAACTAAATTGCTGGACTTTGCTACTTTGTCTTCTTATTGTTAATAGGGAAGCAAAGCGAATATAACCAAGCCTCTTTTTGCTTTTGGGGTTTCTTTCTTAACAATAGGGAATAAAATTAAAATGAAGAATGTAGGAAATTAATTTATTGTTCTTATTTTTAATTAGCTGGAGTTAGATACTATTCTAAGCACAGCTTCTGTTACCATGGAGTTTTCTTAACTCAGGGTCAGCTTCCTTAAAAGTGCTGGGGCCTGCTTTATGCTTTGAAAAAAAAAATAATTCTCAGTGACCTTGAGTAATAGCTGTAGCCTTTGTTATATCTTAATTGCTACTTTTACATGAGAAACATAAAGTCATCCCCATATTTCTGAAGAATCAATGAACACTCTGCATTGTATGCTTAGACTTGAAGCATATGAAATAGAATAGTGGGTACATAAAAATAAATTTTTACAAATAATAAATAGACAATATTAATTTTTTGCAATTATGTTATTCAAATTAAATGAATAGGTTTGATGACCTTTTTTAAAAGTTATTTAATTATACTTATTTATTTGTGGGGGGCACATTTGCTATCCTGTAGACAACTTGAAGGAGTCTGTTCTCTTTCCACTGTTTGTACTTCAGGAATTATCAGGCTTGATGGCCAGCACCTCCACTCGCTGAGCCAGCTCACTGTTCAAATTTGACAAGCTTTTAAAGACTATTTAAGCCGTTTGTCTCTCTTTACAGTATTTCTACTGCTATGAATTTGTGTGTGTATTATATTTCTTAGGGAACTGCCATTTTATTTATTCTTACACAGGTGGAATATTTAAGGGTTTCTGGGTTTGCACTTGGAGTCTAGGATCTGGGGGATGGAAAGGAGCCTATTTTTTTTTTCTATACATCTCAAGTTAAGTTACCCTAGATCCAGAAATAGAATGTTTCTATATTTTGGTTAAGATCTGGGAAGTGTCTAGGCAAATCTCACATGGTTCCTAGAGTCCCTGAAGTTACTTTTCTTCAGCATTTCTAGTATATTTAATAGTTGGTAGGTCTAGCACAATACTCACAGAGTAGATCTAGTCAACAGAAAGACATGCCATTGGTCCAGAAAGATCTTACAAGTCATATTAACACACAAAAGTGACCAAATGGACATTTCCAGAAGTCATCCCCCTCTGTCCTGAAGGTGTCAGTTGTTATCTACTCGTACAGGTGTCTTGTCAGTCACTACGTTACCTAGCAAGCCTCTAATTTACACCCACTGGTCCACACCACCTTCCCTGTCTATACAGCTAAAATAAAAATGAGGAAATGCTAACATAACATAAAACAGAATCTAACCTATTTTTTCTAGAAACATGCTGCAGTCTCATTTCTTTTATTTCTTTGTTGTATTTTTTTCTTCTCTGAAATATTTAATTTCCCTTTTCTTACATGAATTCTACTCAACTCAGCTGCCAGCACCTTGAAACTTCTTTGATTAATTGTCTACAGAATTTTCTCTGTGTTCTGAAGTCTTAGAGCATTTCTCTTCTCAACATGATAACTTGTATTATACTAGTAGTGTGTTTGGATTAGCCTCTTTCCACTGCCAGGCACTTACATACAGACGTCTACTGGCTTTTTGAAGACTAAGAAAGTAGTCCTATTTTTACCCTACTTTTCCCACTTGGCCTTCTGCCTTAAATTTGAAAATTTTTTCTTGCTTTTCAGTTACAGATGAGGATACAGTTAAGAGATATTTTGCCAAGTTTGAAGAGAAGTTTTTCCAAACCTGTGAAAAGGAACTTGCCAAAATCAACACATTTTATTCAGGTGAGTAGTCACAAAGAAAAAAAGACATTCTGCAATGCCCTTCGGACCTGATTGGTGTTGCTTGAGGCGGACTTCCCTTGTTTATGCTGCAGTAATGCAATTGGTACTTTATGTGGTCATTGCCTAGGTTCCCTTACACGTTATAAGACCTTCTGTTATATCTTTTATTTTATCTTTTATAAATTTTAATCCCCATTTTCATATTATCACTTAGGTTAATTTTATGCCCTTTCATTGGCTAGAACACTCATCTTCATCTCTCTAATGCATAGTCTTACAAGTGTCATCTGCAAGATGCTATTGGAGCTTGAAAAGAAAATATTAACTTTTTTTTTTTTTTTTTTTTTTTGGTTTTTTGAGACAGGGTTTCACTGTGGCTTTGGAGCCTGTCCTGGAACTAGCTCTGTAGACCAGGCTGGTCTCGAACTCACAGAGATCCGCCTGCCTCTGCCTCCCGAGTGCTGGGATTAAAGGCGTGTGCCACCATCGCCCGGCTAACTTTATATTTTTATATGCCTAACTTGTTTAAAGTGTATGTTTTAATGTACTTAACAGAGATTAGTAAAGCAATGTCCTTGTAATGGATTGCCTAGAGCATTGCCTTAAGCATCACAAATCCTGTGGAGCCTAGTTGAAAATTAGATAGTTTTGTGAGTACAGAATCAAAAGAGTGATTTAGATTCAGAGAGACTTCATCCAGACTTTGAATAAACGTTATATGTATTCCCTTGTACATTGCTGAATGTACCCCCTTTATGCTTGGAATCACCTACTAGATGGATTTCCCTCTTCTCTTGGCAAAGGTTTTGGAAATACCATAGTCTTAATAGTGACATAATCATTAAAAACAATCAAAACTACTAGTATGGGTTAGTCCGAGATGACTAGTTGCATGACTTTATTAGTTTCTTTTTCGAAGGATGATTTTTTTCTCTCCTAGCTTGTGTACAACTTTTGGAAGCATTTTATTCAGATATTTTCTCTGCAGCCCTCAGATAGGTCTGATTATTCTTGTATATGGCGCAGTGGGAGACTGAGAGAGGTAAGAAGCAGTATAAAGCAGATGCCAAAACCCTAAGAGGCTTGGTCTGACATTTAGATGCTGTTGTTTTCCAAAATCAGTACTGCTGTGTATCCTGCAAAGTGGATCTATGAACATCTGGTATCTTGTGGAGTTGGCCACTCCTGTGTATTTGCTACTGCTGATCTCTTGGTTGCTCACTGAGAATAAAGATGCTTACCTCCCAATGTAAAGTTTTAGATCAACTTTCTGTGTAATCCTGGTGACTTAATTGTCTTTGTGGACAGTCCATTTTTGGTTCCAATCTACTTTTTTCACAGTATCTCATGGCTGTACTTGCCCAGAATTGCTCTCCTCCAGATTAGTAAATTCCATAAAATTCTAGGACCATATTTCCCAGGCTTTAAGCTTTTTATACACCTTCTCTAACATCTGGATATATTCATACATACATACATACATACATATACATTTATTATTATTTTGTGTTTATGGGTTTTTTTTTTTTTTTTGCCTGCATGCATGTCTGTGTACCACGTGCATGCAGTACTGCAGGGACCAGAAGAGGGCATTAGATCCCCTGGGACTTGAGTTACAGATGGTCATGAGCCACCATGTGGTACTGGGGATTGAATCTTGGTCCTCGGAAAAAGCAAACGGGGCTCTTAACCACTGAGTCATTACTCTAGTCCCCTATTTATTCGTTTTGTTTATTTGTTTTATATCTTAGAGAGCTCAAATTCCTTCACATCTTCATTTTATTCCAGTCATGTCACACCCTGTATTGATGTCTTTTTATCAGTCATTTTAATCGTTTTGTCCCTGTACTTTCAATTCTTTTACCCTTATTGCTTTATATTGTGCTTGCCTAGCAAACTCAGTGCTTCTTGTACCTTAGTGCCAACATTCTGGACTGATTCACATAACAATAGAGTTATAGTAAAAAAAAATCTACTTTATGACTAAATATGCAAATGTACAGCTACCCACCTTGTTTTGTTTTGCTTTTTTTCTTCCCAGACAGGATTTCTCTGTGTAGCCCTGGCTGTCCTGGAACTTGCATTGTAGACCAGGCTGTCCTCGAACTCAGAGATACATATACCTGCCTCTACTGGGATTAAAGGTGTGTGCCACTACACCTGGCTAGATCTTCAGATCTTATGTGTGCTTATGCACCTATGAGTGTGAATACACAAATGTTTAAATCATTTAAGTGTTTTAAAACAAACAATATTTGTCTTCTTTTAATCTATTTTTTAAATACTTTTTCTGATTAATTTTTAAAATGTTGATTGTGTTTCACTAAATTTTGGGGGTTTTTTGTTTTTAAGACAAGGTGTCACTGTGCAGTTCTGACTGGCTTAGAACTTGCTATATAGAACTCACAGGATTGGGTTGTCTCTGCCTCCCAAGTGCTGGAATTAGAATTTACCCAACCCAAATTAGTTTTGAACATTGCTTTTGATCCATATTGGATTGCAGGATTCAGTTTGAAAAGTAATATCATGGAGTAGATCAATTTTCAAAAATCATTTTGGGTTGGCTGTTATTAAATTTTTTGAATGCTGTGAGATAATAACTTAAATATGTGTATTGACAGGGCCATTGGGGTACAAATTGATAGTCACTGACTTTGAGTTTTTGCCAGGTCTGGAAGGGGTGAGTAATATGATTGGACATGATTGGAAGACAAGAAATAGAATTTGGCACGTGTAGACAGTATCACTTTCCCCTCTAGTTAGCTGCTTTCTTATAAACTGCAGTCTTCAGGTACTCATGCCTGAGAGAAGCCATAAGTAACTAGTGAGTTACCTTCTGGGAAGGGTTAAGAGAAGCTCTATTTGGCCCAAACCAGCCTCTGATACCGTCCTCCTGACAGGGCTTTCCAGTATTGGGTATAGTTGTGTGCACCACCTATTTGAGCTTATTTATTAACTCACCTTCATCTACTAAGGTAGCACAGATTACTTAATACCTAAAAATGGTCAGTCTTTAAATGACTTATATTCTAGATCCAAACATTTTACTACCTCCCAATTTTTTATCTTTCTAATCATACCAAAATCCCAAAAATAAATAAAATAATTAAAGTGCTAATTCCATCAACTAATTACATTTTGAATTTTTAAAGTTTAGATTTTGTTTAATTTTTTCTTTTGGTTGTGTTGTTGTTGTTGTTGTTGTTGTTGTTGTTGTTAGTTTTTCAAGACAGGATTTCTCTATGTAGCCCTGGCCATTCTGGAACTACTCTGTAGACCAGGCTGGCCTCAAACTCAAAAGATTTGCCTGCTTCTGCCTCCTGAATGCTGGGATTAAGGGTGTGTGCCAGCACCACCTGAATGATTTTGTTTAATTTTATCATTTAAAAAAACTATTTAGGGCTGAGAGATGGCTCAGAGGTTAAGAGCACTGACTGTTCTTCCAGAGGTCTTGAGTTCAATTCCCAGCAACCACATGATGGCTCATAACCATCTGTAATGAGATCTGGTGCCCTCTTCTGGTCTGCAGGGATGCAGGCAGATGCTGTATACACAATTAATAGATAAATTTAAAAAAAATAAAATAAAAACCCTTTTTCATAAAAAAACAAAAAAACTATTTAACCTTCCTACACCAACAAACACTTGCTTATAAAGTAGATTAATTCCCGGGCCTCTTAGGATTGTGCTTGTTAAGAGTAAGAAGCTGGGCTTTTGGGAACATGTTCCCCATGCTGGATTACCTCACACAGCAGGGGTAAAGCAGGGGAAGGAGCTTGGTCCTGCCTAAACTTGATGTGCCATGTTTGGTTAACACCCATGGGAGGCCTGACCCTTTCTAAATGAAAATAGAGGAGAAGTGGATGGTGAGGGGGTCATATGGGAGGCTGGGGGTGGGGGCAGGAGAAGAAGAGGAAGGGGAGACTGGTCAGTTGAGAAAATAAATGAAAAAAATTTTTCCTTTAAAAAAAAAAGAGTAAGAAGCTGTTTTCAGTTGAAAACCTGATATAAATTACTTTTCTTACTTTTTTCTATCTGTTTTGTTTAATTTTAAAAGAACAGTTGTTTATATTTATAGAAAAATGTTTTTACAATTGAAAGACCATGGGGAAAGAAGGAACTTTTAAAAATGAGGGGCCCCAATTTCCAAGATGAACATAAATGTAAACAACCTCAATAAAATACTTGCAAGCCATATTCGATAGTACATTTTAAAAAATCATATGTGATTGAGTTAGTTTTATTACAGGAATGCAAGAATTTCAACATATGCAAGTCAATAAGTGAAATATAGCATATAAATAGAATCACATGATCATTTTGATAGATGTAGAAAAATTCCTTTGATGATATTCCATATCCATCCGTTCATTATAAAAAGCCTGAATAAAACAATCTAGTAATAGAAGGACCATACCTTGACATAATGAAGGCAGAATATGACAGACTTTTTCATAACCCATATAATAAATAGGGACAAATTGAGAGCATTTCCTCTAAAATGAGATGTGGCATTTACTCTTGTCACTCTTATTCAGTGTAGTGCTTAGAATCTTAGCCAGGCCTTTAAGGCAAGAGAAAAGAAATGGGATGCAAAGAGAAAAGGAAGAAGTCAAATTGCCCTTGTTTCCAGATGATACAGTCCTACACTGGAAAGATTTTAAAGACTCTATGAGAAGCAATATAATCAACCTGCTAAGTGTCTGAGTAGTCCCATTGGGTAGCGGGGCATATCTGAGGGTCAAGAATGGTCTCTACCTGGTGAATAGCTGCCTTGCCTAGAGTGCAATTTAATACTTGCATTACCAGGTGTGCAGGTGCATACCAGGTGCTAGGGACTGTATTGATTTGCTCCAGTGAAGCTACCTTATCCAGAAGAGCAGCTGCTATGGGAGAGAATACTTGCTTAAGTTAACAATAAGATCTATATTTCCCAAGAGTCATCCAACTCTGTACAAAGTAAAGCTAACGCTATGTTAAGTGATAGTTTGTATAGGCAT